CAGGACAGATTGGGAGGGGAGAGTAATGATTGATTTTTTACGCAAGTTTGGGGCGACAGTGAAGTCATCTTTCGGAGAAGGGAAGAGAGTGGTCTAGGGAGTCCGGTTCAGAATCAGAAGAGCAAGACTCAACGATCACTAAGTTGGGCTTAGGTGAACCTGGCTCTAAAGAGTCAGGCAATGTGCCTGGTCCCGCTTCAGGAAAAGTGGAGGGGTTAGGAATTTGGACCGCGGAAGGATCTGGGCCTAGTAAGGAGTGGAGCCTCGCCAAGAGGAGGTGCCGAGTCCGAGGGAGTCGGGTCTGGGGCAAGGGAGGATGGGTTGGGTGGGCTAGCGAGAGGGGGGATCGAAAGTGAAGAAGAAGGAGAAGAAATATGAATAAAGGGTTCAATGTGGGGGGTTTTTGCTCTTGTTAATTTTGGCGGGATGAATGGTCGGATTTTTTATGTAACATGTTGAGTCATCATGTACTACACAAGAGTAATAGGAACAATATTTTGGTAAGCGTTCGAACTCGACAGTGAGTTCGACGCGTTTGTTTCTGCAAGAAACAACAATACTAGTGGGATGAGGGGATTCAAGTTTGAGGGCTAAGCAAAAGCGTGCATATTGGAGCCAATTTTTTTAAGTGTGGCATCATCAACTTTTAATAGGGTTCCAAAGATGTTGGCGATTGTTCGAAGAGCCTTTAAATCAAAGTAATGAATGGGAAGAGTTGGGATTTTGATCCAAACTGGAACAGTGGGTGGTTCTGTTTTGAAATCGAAATCGGCGGACCATTTAAAAATCCGATTGGATAAATTAGAATAGAAATTTCACGTTTCAACTAAAGTTTCGTAGACGTGTTTGGGTCGTCGAATTCGATAAAGATGTAATTGGCATGGAGGAAATTCTTTTCGCATCTGGTGAAACCCAAAAGAGCAAGGTTCGACCGAATAGCCTCATTGGAGGGCTTGCCGAAGGAGAATTTGTCTATAAGGGCATATTTGAGATCTTACAACATTTTTCAGACTTCCGGAGGAGAGAAATAAACATTTGGGATGCTGCCGGATAGAGAAATAGAGCCATAGGACAAGGGCTTGGGGATGATTTTTTGGGCGGCCGAGAGGAAGGATTTTGCCGGTCTAAGGGTGACAGTTTGGGTTGTAGAGGAGAGATGGGCTAATTGGGAGGGTTGGGCCGAGTTTGGGCCAGTCTGGAGGGGTTGGGCTGGGTTTAAACCAGGCTGGGTTGGGTTCGGTCCAGACTAGAGGGTTTGGGTTGGGTTCGGGCTGGGCATGGTGGAGGTTCTAGTGAGAGGAGTTGTAGTGAAAATAGGCTAGGCGGGCTTGGGCTTGGTTTGGGATGGCTCAGATGGGCCAGGGGTGAAATAGGATCCAGCTGAATTGGACAAAAAAAAAGGAGTAAATGGGCTTTGATAAAGAACGTCCAGAGGGGGGAAAATAGGACTTATCGGCCCAATAAGAGGAGTCCAAGGATTAGGCGCGTACAAGACTAGGTCTCGCTGAGGATTGTGCGCCGCCATCGTCTGACCAAAGGAAGAGAAACCGACGACGTTGACTGAAGGAAATCCGGCGACTTCCAGTTGGGTTTGTTCAGCTTCTGGGAGCGAACGGGGAGAGCTGCTGGGAATCGCTTTTGACGTGACACCATTGGCAGGGGAAATCCGGCAAAAACGACAACTTCAGAGCTCGAAGCGGTATTTACTGAGATGCCGGTAGATGCGGAACCAAGTAGACCGTCAGAGGTTTTGGTTGCTGGAATGGAGAGAGGCCATTCACGAAACATTGCTCGGGTTTGAGGGACCGCCGCTAGCTGGCGACGGCCTTCTGTCTGTTCGGGGGGCTTCGAGAAGATCCTGGTGGGGGAAAGTCACCGATAAGAAAAGGTGAAAGTTGCAGCCTATGAGGAGTGGCAGAATCTAAACAATCACTTGTTAGCTCTTTTTGGCATTTTATCGAATATCTTCTGTGCATGATCAAATCTGAAGGGGCTTCGAATTTTGGAGATGACTGAGCTTCCTATTCCTAATGACGTGTGTCTTCTTCCTTCTTTCTCGACAATCTTTACTTGATATCCTCAAAGTTCAAATCTTTCCTTCAGAGTATAAGTAAAGTTAGAGCTCATTGGGGTTGGCCCGGAAGGTGACACACAATTCTTTGTAACCCGAAGTTTGATATTTGCAAGTTTGAACTTCGATGGTCGATAATGTGTTTTTTCTGTTCTTATCTTTCCCTTTCCATAGTGTTCGAGTCTTGTTTGATGAAAATACATCATCTTCTATTCTGATATGACATACATTATTTTTATGAACATTTTGGAATTATTATTACGCTCATTTTGTTATAGATGTTGGTGTATTTCTTCTTATTTTTATTAATTTATTAAGGCATTACAAATGTTGGTTTACATTTGTATTGGTAGAAAACAATAGAATGCTTTCGAGAAAGAAATTAATGCGAAGACTATGAAACAAACTTGAACGGACCAAGAAATCACGAATCACGGGTTACACTCAATCTAGAGAAAACCGTCATTTGTTACGAACGCCAACCTACAAGAATCCTGATCATTGAAAGTTTTAATTAAGAACTTCGTACTTAAACAGTATTTTATTTTTATTTTTTTTTAAAAAAAGATCAAACTAAAAAGCTTTTAGTTTATTTTTTATTTTTTAAAATAAATATATTATTTTATTTAATATGACACTCATGCTCGAGAGAGGAAAAAAAAATTGAAAACAAAATCTTATCAAACCTTATCAATAATGAAGATACGTGTTTCCATGAAAAGCTAACAAAATCTCGTAGTTACCAAAATCCTATCAAATTAGTTAACAAAATCCCATTAAATTGGTTAACAATATTGGAACACATTTTGTTAGGAAATATTTACGTAATTTATCTATCTAATTAATATCATATTAATGTGTGGGCCCAGTGATATTAATTTAGTATAGCATCCATTATCTCGGAATAATTTTTTGTTTGATTTGCAACATTAATTTGAATGAAAAAAAAAAGAATCCGTAATTGTTGAGATATCTCAATTCAAAATCTCATTTTTTTGGCATAAGAATCTTCAAGTTTGTTACCAATAAAAATAGATTCCTATGGGATTAATATTTAAAATGAATTAAATTTTGGTTTAAGAATCTCTAAATTTGTTACCATAAGAAACCCATAAAAATTTCCTATAGATTGGAGTTTATCAATATTTAGTATAGCATCCATTATTCTCGGAATAATTTTTTGTTTGATTTACAACATGAATTTGAAGGGGAAAAAATCCGAATTGTTATGATATCTCAATTCAAAATCTCAATTTTTTGGCATAAGAAGCTCCAATTTGTGACCATAAGAATCCACAAAAATTTTCTATGGGATTGGAGTTTATCAATAGTTGGTATAACATCCATTATTTTTTAAATAATTTTTTGTTTGATTTACAACATTAATTTGAATGGGAAAAAAATCCATAATTGTTGGAATATCTCAATTCAAAATCTCACTTTTTTGGCATAACAATCTTCAAATTTGTTACCAATAAAAGTAGATTCTTATGGATTAATATTTAAAATGAATTAAATTTTGGTTAGGAATCTCCAAATTCGTTACCATAAAAAATCTCTAATTTTTTTGAGATATCTCAATTAAATTTGTTACCATAAAAATCTCAAAATTTGTTACCATAAAAATCTCAATTTTTTTGGTACATGTGTTTTTTTCGAAATTTCCATTAATAGTAAGTCAAATCATTTATTTTTTTAGTCAAACTTATTATAAAAGTATTTTTCCAACAACCTCTTTATATTATTATAGATAGTAAAAGGCATCAAATAAAATTCACAAGAGCATTTCCCTATAAATTTTAATTATGCCCCATTGAAAATTAAAAGTCAAAAAATACAAAGTTAATTTAATTACAACCTAACCAATTTAAATTTATAATTTATATTTAAGAGGTTGATGTTTAATACAAAAGTGGAAAATTGATTTTTTTTTTTTTAAATAGTTTGATTTAGAACATCACTTGTGAGTTGTCCCACATCATTCACACATGAAAAATAGACACACCTTATAAGGCTAATGGACTACTCCTCCTTCCACCAATTGGTTTTGGGATGGAACCCCATTTGGGCTTCATATGGGCTTTTCCAGTTTTCCCATGGTGTGCTTCATGATAGTGGGCACGCACCCATTTTTCCCCAGTTTCTGTCATGGTATCAGAGCTGGTTCTACCGTGCGATGACGTACCTGTTTTCCCCACGTACCCGTTTATGGGAGCCTACTTCTAGTAGGGCTTGGGCACCCAGCCCAGTTGTGGCTTGGGCTTTCGAAGGACTCGCAAGTGAGGGGGCGTATTAGAATATCACTTGTAAGTTGTCCCACATCATCCATACATGGAAAATAGAACCACCTTATAAGGCTAATGGGGTACTCCTCCATGGAAAATAGACCCACCTTATAAGGCTAATGGGCTACTCCTCCTTCCACAAATTGGTTTTGGGATGGAACCCCATTTGGGCTTCATATGGGCTTTTCTCGTTTTCCCATGGTGCGCTTCATGATAGTGGGCCCACACCCATTTTTCCCTAGTTTCTGTCACTTACTTATAAATGAATTTTGTTAAATGAATTGTTTTTAAACAAAGAAAATGATCATATTATCCTTTTTGCGTGAAATTTAGTTTTTAAAATGGTATACTTAAATATCCTACTTTTTGGCTTCTTATCGTGTACTCTGATTTTTAAAGTTGTAGGACAAAATGTGTCATATTTTCTTGAAAACATTTGCATATCAATAAATCTGTTTGAAAATGCAAATGCCTTTAAAAATGGGAGACAACACTTTTTGATATTATGTTTCAACAATAAATCTCAAAATTTGAAATTATCCATTTACATCAATATCTCAAATCGAATATATATAATATTTTAATATTCTACATATGAAACCATCATGATATTTAAAGGTTGTGTTTTTCTTTTAGGAAAATAAAATTATGGTAGGAGATAAATTAGTTAAGCGTTAATTAATGATAAATACTAATTTTTAATAGTGAAATTTAAGATGTTGTAAGCAAAACAAATTTATGCTTAAAAAATAATCGTAATGTAAAAGTTATCACTATTTAATTACATGATCATATAGAGCGTTACAACTAAATAAATATCTTGACTATGTACAGCGACTAAACTATAAAACAATAGAAAAAATATCTAATACACTTATTGTACAACATCGGTATAATAAAAAATATTGTTACTTATTTATACAAATTAAAATACTTTTCATTGTTTATACATTGATACATATTTATATTTTGTGATACACGTTGACAACGTTTAATACATAATATATAATATTTTTGATACCTTTGAATGTGTTAACTAAGTTGTATTAAATTACTTTACTATAGACAAATTTTACGTGACTTCACAAAATCTATATATTTAAAGTTTAAGAATCACTTAAAAGAGTAAGTAAGAAATTTGATTTAGAAACCAAACCTTAGCTTTTTCTCTCTCTACCGAAGAAAATCCCCTTTCTCCTCTCTGCAACCCTAGCTTCCGGCACCGGCGATTTGTGCTCCCTCAGCGTCCATCTGACTAGTCGGTGGACGGCTCTCCGCCGCGTGTCCTTGCTTCTATTCGCGGCACTTCTACCCATCATCTCTCTGGTCGGGGGCGAGGAAGGAGGCCTTCGGCAGATCCCACCGATCTGTGCTGGAAGGCCGCCGGAGCTTCTGGGTGGCGAGGCGAGGTGGAGTGCGGCCACATAGGAGGGACGCGGCTCACTGCTTGCATCGTTCCTGTCCAGATGTCTCCTTCTCCCAGCCTTTGCCGACGGCCTCATCATCACCGGTTCTACGGGCTTTCAGGTAAAAATTCCGGCTCTATGTTCGCCGGAACTCTGGTGTGGAAGCGGGTTGTGGACTGGGGTTCGTCATCGGGGCTGGGTGAGGAGCTCGAGTTTGGGCTTTGTCCGGGGCGCCTCTTATCGTTGGGCTTGGAGGACAGCCAGGTTGTGGCTCTTTGTTTTCTGACGGAGTCGGGGTCCGGGTTTGTCCTTGCTGCTAGGTGGATTGGTGGTCGGTACGGGCTGGGTTCGTCCCTTCAGGCTTGAGCGGCGCGGCTGAGCGTTGACGCTATTCGTCCCCTTCCTCTCATTTCTCTGTTTCGGAGTTCGTGGGAGGCCAACTGTCTCCGGAATTGGCTAGTGGTGATAGGCAATTTCGGGGCGGTGCTGGATTGGCTAGTGGTGTTAGCGGTTGGCGGTCGATTGTGGTGTCTTGCGGTTGAGGTGCGGGTCGGTTACTCGGATTGTTTTGCAGCTTGGGTCATCGTCTTGCTAGGCCTTATGCAGTGGCGGGCGTGGTATCAGAGCTTCAGAGCTCTCCTCAGAATCGGCTTTGTCGGTTGTTCTTTTTGGGTGTATCTGCTGAGGGAGGCGTTGTGTGTTTTATTATGTAGTGTTTGTTTTCCGTATGTTCCGTTTGTTTGTTCTTGTTTTGTTTTGTGTTGTCTGTGTTTTAGGTTTGGGCCGTTGGCCTCAGTTTGCCCGAGTGTGACTTAATTATTCTGTTGGGACCGAACACTCGGGCATTATCCTGTTAGGGTCGTTTGTAATTTTCTAGTGTTTCAGTGTCGTTGTGTTTTTTGAGTTTTTAGATTACCCCGTTGGGGTCGGTTCTAGGCAGTCTTTTGACTGTCCTCCCAGTTTTTCAGCTGTTGGCTGGTTGTATTCAGCTGTTGGCTGTATGTATTCAGCTAGGGGTTGTACTTTCGCACATTTGTGCTTTTTATATAATAAAAAAAAGAAATTTGATTTAAAATGTTTTTATCAAAAACATTTTTTAAAACTTTTTTAATAATTTTTATAAAAAAATATATTGTCAATCTTTCCTAATAATACGTTAGTTTATTTTTTAATAAATTATAAAAGATAAATATAAGTAATATACAATTCTTCCACAAGTTTTAGATTTTTTGTTGCATATTATAGTTTTAAGTTTTGTATTTTGATGCAAATTACAGTTTCAATTGATCTTTTTTACATATA